CGAGCAGTTGCCCTCTATGTCCTTGCCACTGTGCTGAGTGCTTTTCATGGATCACTCAGAAAAAGTCTATAAGCATGTTACTATGACACACTTCTCTATTTACCCCTAACATACAACAGATGCAAATGCAACAAAGGCCTTTTCTAAAAAAGATATCTCTAGTATAAAGCCAATGGAAATGGAAGGCCCCCAACTGTGGAACTTGCCATGTTTCCTGGATTGAAAGAGGCTGACTCTTGCATGAAGCAGTTCCCTAGAGATTAGATGCCCAGAACTGTGGAGATGGTTATTAGAAAACAAAAACCAAAGCCTATCCAAGGAATTCTATTTGCCCCAGAGAATGGCTCCTTGCCAGGCTGATGAAGGCGCAGCATCAGGGCTCGGTAAGAAAGCAGAGGTGACCTCACTGCAAAGGAACAGCGATGCAGAAGTTCAGGAGTATTAGCAGAGCTTTGCTAAGCCTGGAAATCTGAAGAAGCCTGGTGACTGGAACCTAAAAGTATATGACGTGACCGTGCCTAACATGCAGTGTTTACCCATCAGTGTCCCCACTACCTGCAGGGTTCTCAGGAGCAAAGACCTTTAGCATTTGTTTTAATCTACCCCCAGGATAGTACATAGTCTAGACCTGGAACATAAGATATACTTAAATATTTAATAAGAAGTTTGAGTAACCAATCTCCCCAGGAACATACTTATTCCACTTACTAGGGTGTGCCTGTGAAACAGCGCTTTCTGAAGTGTGGTCTGGAGACCTCTAGTGGTTGTCTGCTACTCACCAGAAGTCAAAATTCAGAAGGATGGACTGGAAAGGGCCAAACACCAGGACACAGGTAAGGCCTGGGATGGGGGAAACATGGAGTGCCATGGCAGAGTAATGAGCTAGAGAAGTTTAAAATGAAACATTCTTAAAAGACCAAAAAAAAGATAAAACTGCAATCAGTTTATTTGAAGGCAATATATATGGAGAAAGCAATTGTTTCCTAATAATTTTATTGTAAAGTACAACATATCTAGTTCACATTCCTTAGTAGCATCCCACTTAGGCTTAAGTTTTTTCCATTAAACATAAGTGACTAGTTTTCTAAAACACACTGCCATTTCAGAGACTATCAAAAAATAGCACAAACAATTTTAGAAAGAAACAATCACCCTTTTATATATTCTAAGCATCGAAGATAAGAAGGTAAGTTCCTTCTACATCAAATTCACCATCTTTTTCTCAAACATAGTCAACTGTTAGGCTCACCTGTCAATCATCAGGAATCTCAGAAACTGCAGATCCCATTCTGGTAGAAAATAAGTTATGCTGGAGAGGCACCACTCTTTCAAAATTATAGTGGGAGTCTCACACTTACAGGAAAAGTCTCCATGATCTTTCTTCTCTGTTGGGAATCTTACTGGATCCTGGACTCTGGAACCACCTTGACTGGATTAATATCACAGTTCAATGTCCTACTAGCTGGGTCAACTTAACTAAGTTACTTAACTTCTCGATATCTTTTTCTCCTTCATGAAATAAAAATGATAACAGTCTGCCTCAAAGTTGTAAAAGTAGACTCATTATACATTTCAAGAACCTAGAGAATTTCATGTACCTAGTAGGAAATCAAGCAATATTTGATAGTTATTACAACTAATGGTCTAAAAATATCCAGAATGACCCAAGTAAGCCAAGATTTGATGTCTCTAAAAAGAACAAAAAAGCATACATACTTAAGATAGAGTTTATTGATTCTTAAATATGCTCTTAAAAGGCAACTTTTTTCCTTGGTTTATTAACTGAAAAATAATCACAATCAATCAAAATTATGAATATTTAAACTGCCCTAAAAATAGGTAGGTGCCACAGAAGAAATCCTTAACACAAATCCTACTCATCTAAGAACTGGAGAACATTAAGGGAGAACTATTATTTTATTTTTTCTTCATAATTTTGCAAAGACTCAAAAACAGCTGTGAGTATACTTTGGGTATGGATCAAATGTTCTTGCAAGAAAGAACTTTGTGGGGGAAAAAATCATTTATTTTATTATACATAAAGCTCTTTAAAAATCTATTAAGCCTATGAAACTTGAGGTTCTTTTGGTCAACTTTATAGTAAAATGGGAGTTTAAATTAAATATGGAAATAAAGGGAGCTGCAAAGTGAGAGATAGGAGCTGAGACACCTGAACAAGAGAAAATTGTGCATTTTTATACACGAAGAGAACAAAATCCATTTCCCTGAGGCTTTCCCTCCTTTTCCACATATGGGAGTTAGGGGTGAGCAGAACAAGCCATCCACCGAACTAGTTTCTCAACCAGTTAGATCTCTGAACAATATTAACTACAGAGACAATCCCTTGCTTTAAAGCAAAAAGTCTATACTATGGAAAGTAAAAATAAATGTAGCTTTCTGAAAACAGGATGAACATCAGGGATACCAGGAACAAAATCTTGGAGAATAGTGATTCCCACAGCAGCTGAGATGCACCTATTTTTGGTTTGGAACTCTACGGGCCCCTGCTTGAGTAAATATTTTCCAGTTAATTCACTGTATAGCTAGTACACTATACACTGTATAGGGGAGATAATGATTTTAAATAGAGTGAGGACTTGCACCCAAAATATACTCACAATCTACTATTCTAGTTCCCTCTATAACCACTGTCACCCACAATCCAGTGTCCTCTAATAGGACCCACACATTTGCAAAGTGCCCACCTAAACTGACATTGCATTATAAATGATTGAGGAGAACGATTACAGAGACAGCTTAGAAAGGAAACAAGACTTTTTCCATTCAGTTTATCTGTCTATAATGGTCATAGTCTGTAACTATTTACCAAGCTTTCAATAAAGCACATAGGTGGGCAATTAAACAATTACACTCCTTGCTCAGCAAGGTTTGAGTGACAAGACATTGTTTGAGGACACAAAAAATGGCTACACAAAGCCACCAAACAATCATGCCATAGCATGACCTAGGGCGGGAGACAGAGCGGGCTGCATGGTCTGTCTGTGAACACCTGGAAGAGCAGTACTCTCTACCTCCACAGAAATGGGATCCTCAGTGGTGGCTTTCAGCCTAGGTATAATTCCCATCCACTCCCTTCCAGTGGCTCCCCATATTTCACCTTCCCCATTCTCATTCATCTAACCAGCGTAGAAGAGAGAAAGGGAAGGCGAGAGAGAGAAACAGACTCTGAATGAGAATAAATTTCCACAGGGGAGAGTGCAGCACATAAGTTATTTCAAGACCTCATGTTACTGCATTCCTGGAAAAGTTAAGTAGGCAGCCGAATGTTCTGCTCTTCCCAAAAGAAGCTGGGCATTCAAGTCTTAGAGGAAAATGAAAATTCATAGGAAAAAAACCCTGGTATTAATGGGAAAATTTATAATGATTTACATAATTGTGTATTATATAATTACAGGTAATTATATTACAGTCATTGGCCCTCATGAACACAATGGCCCCGTTTGATTTTTACTTCTCTCTTTTTAGATCTTCACAGAATTCTAAGTCACTTCAAATGTTGAAACATAGCTTAATAATCAATGGCATAAACCTTGGAGTATTTATTGTAGCAATGCTCTGTTGTGTTTGATAACATAAACAAGCAAGATGGTCTTTTTCAGCAATAAAATAGAATGGATCCTGGAATGTATCTGATTGAATTTGGCCAGCCCAAACCATAGCCTCAACAAGCTTGGGGCAGAATCTTGAACTAGATGCTCCAGAACAAGTCGAGAAAAATGTACAGGAAACAATGAACCTAACCAACAACCAGTCATCACCACATGCAATTACATTCCTTTTCAGTACATGCATAATGTTAAGTGGAAAAAAAATCTCAAGAAAATATGCTAGAGATAGTTCTTTCAGGTAGATATTTATATTATAAATGTGTGTGTGGAAGGTTACCATAAAACTACATTTTACTTCTTTTTCACATATGATTTAAGTCAGTATTGAAAATTCTAATGCCTAACTGAATATAATGTATAGACTTTGCCTACATTCTAATTCAAAAAAATCTATACAAAGGAGCAGTTTCAGAGGCATGAGAAATTTGAAGTAGACTGGGTATTACATGTCCGCAAGGGATTATTAACAATTAACTCCACTGTCAATTATTGTTCATTATAATATTGTTACTTTTAGGTGTGATTATGATGCAATGGTCATGTCAGAAGGTGTCTATACTTTTAAAATATACATGCCAGGGTGGAATGATATCTCAGCTAAGGAAGAACAAAGCTAAACAAAGCTAATATGGCAATTATTGAATTTGGGTAATGTACTTAAGCAAAGTCATGTATTTTCACAGTTTTATATAACTTTGAAATTATTCATAATTTTTAAAACATTTAAAAAGCATTCTGTTGTCTAGAAACACCCTCAAAATGGCTCTATGGACAGGTAAGGGGCAAAAATTGTAATCTTTTTAAAATGAAGTACAAATTAATGAAATTGACTTTTTTGGGTCTATTCTTTTATATAGCTATTCACAATTCCATCCAATTTAAGAACATTTTTAAATGAAGACCCTGCTAAAATTCTGTACTAGTGATGACTCACAATGCTTTATTCCAAAGCAACAAAATGCATGTGCCCAAAAGACATGTAAAAACAAGGGTGTCTTGCACAAAAAGCAGCTTTTTCCCTGAGACAAATATCTAAAACTCATGATATACTTTTCTATCTCAAAGATTTTTAAAAATTATTTTCTTTCTTTAGAGAAAACTGTATCATGAGCACACAGCTCAGCAAAAATTCTGCAAATAATGCATAGGTAAAAGATAAGAGTACTTTCTCCCAGCCAAAAGGACTAACAGGGAAAAATGAACATTTCCAAAAGCATTTGGAACCGTATTCCAGCTACCTCTTTGCTCAGCTCTCTTTTGCCTCCCAAAATACGTCACTTAACTGTCTGTCAAAACAACTCTTGCCCATTTCTACCTGATCACATTCCAGAGCTGCAGCTTCTCCTGGATTCGCTTCACATGACAAGCTGCTCAAACAGACAGCACCTATCAAACCAAGTATGATCATCTGCTCCTTCCTTTTTTCCTTTTAGGGCATACTGCTGTCCATCAGGAGAAGTAATTAATGGGTTTATTATGTATGAAAGCATCATCCCATCAGTTTGCTGTCTGGTTTGAATAGCTCATATCAGCTCTTCATTCATGCCAAGTATGCTCACTGTCCGGAGATATGATAAAGCCGTACCTTCTTCGGATTTTTCCCTCACCATTCACAAAACAGTGTACCAGGACTATGTGTCTCAGAGGCACAAGGAGGACAGAAGAAGAAATCCCTTCATCCTCTACAGAAAGGAAGCTAATGGACTGAAAAGTTGGTAAAGGGAAAAGCGAGGGAAGCAAGAGAGTGCAAGAGAACATCCATCCGTGCTTCAGCAGTCCGGATAATTTTTTCAAAGCACCGTGGTTTGGGAGCATGTGTCATTCTGAAATATGGACAGCAGAACTTTTCTAGAAGATAAGATGGCTATAGAAAGAACCACGATTTCTCACTGCTGAAACAGTCAATGAATTTTTAATAAGTTCTGAACATTCAAGTTGTCTGTGGCCGATCAACTGCTGTTGTCAGATAGAGAAAGGCAAAATTCACTTCTATCTCTATAATCCTATCCAAATGGAATCTCCATCTATTGCCTGCTGTCTGGACTAATGCTACAGGATTACCAGGAATACAGATAGACAGACACTGCAAGAAATAAAACACAGTGGTGAAAGACGAAAGGGAAGTAGAGAAGGCATTTCAGGTACTGAAGCTTACTATTTACAGCCAGAGTTCAAATTACTGAGCTTCAAACCAACAACTGTCAGGTAAGATGTGATTTTATTACATTATTTTATATCTTGACTGCTAAAACTAAACCTGTGATGTTGTGAATGAGCCAACAGATTTGATTTCATGCAATCCTCCCTTAAGCTTTATGCAGATTTAAGCCTTTGGAGGTAAAAGCTTGTTTTTACTTATGCTGCATAAACTGATCATTCATAGCTAGACAATAAAACATTTCAAAAATCCCATTCATGTTTCATTGGATTTAGCCCATCTTTGTCTTCATTTTTAAAAATGAATTTTGTTTCATTTAACAGCTTAAAAAAATGTGTGAAGAGAGCCCTGAATAGGGCACAAGAGCCATTCACAGATGCTACATACCAAACATACTCAAATGAAATTTGTTTCTCAAGGCACTTGTTAAAACAAAGGAAAATTAATACATTTTAATATTTCTATTAATGCAAAAGAACAAAGCTCAATGACTGATTTTTATCATTACCAAAAACAAAGAAAAAAAGCTGTGATGTCATTCTCATTCACACTAAAGAAAAAACAATCTCTGGTACTTAAGATACAGCACTTCGGTAGAATGGGGTTAATTTATCCTAAAGGTACTGGGCGTATTTTTATAACAGACTAAATGAGGACATTTTCTGACTTAGTAACAGAACAAAATGATGTCTAGTATCCTAACACCTCAAAAGCTAACTCAGATGAATAGTCCAAACAGTAAAATGTAAAGAACTACTCAAGTCATCACAGAATTTTAAAGGGTATAGTGCCTTTTAGAAATTCCCTCAAAATCACTCCATAAAGAGGCTTCCAAGGAGACTTTCATATACATATGTGTACACACATATTTTTAATAGACAAAAAAAATTGTCAGATTTTTAATTCCCTACATAGAATTTTTAGCCAAAATTCAACCATGTTAGTTTTCATATGACTTAGAAAGTTCAAAGCTTAATATTTTCATAAAGGAGCCCTGCAAAATAATATATTTCTATTATCTTGGAAGATAGAAGATAAGGGAAATAATAAAAGCAAATAGACCTGACTATAGAGATCTTTTGATAATGTAAGGAAAGTTATCAAAAGTAATTATTCAATACCTGTCTTTAAAAAAAAGTCAAATTTAAAATTCTTCCACTTCACTGAATTTTTTTCCAGATTTTAATTAATAGAATGAATCACATGATCCCTTCACTCTTTTTAAACCAGCCAAAAGAAAACATCATAAATCTTTTGCATCTGAATTCATTATAAAATTTCACCCATTTTCCAGTATCAAAGGAAAGCAGCAACTTAAATATAAGCAGTGATAGTATAATGAACCAAATTATTTCAGAGAAAATGTTTAGAAATCTCAAAATGCTTCCTTTGTATACCAGACCTAATTGAAATACTTGTTATTAAACTCAATATTAAAAGTATTGGAGGTTTTTTTGTTTTTGTTTTTCAGAGGTTTTTTTTTTTTTACCTACATTGAGACCTCCCTGGACCCTTAAGGATTCTTTTCATATTTTTCCTTATTATTATATTTTGTAATTAACATGCTTTGAGAATATGCATATATTTTGTTAAGTGAAAAATATCAACATTTCAATTCATAATTAGGTTTTTTAATTAACTTGGGCAAATGATGAGATTAATAATATTATGTTCAATTTGCTGCCAATGAGTAGAATTGAAGAGGGCATGAAATTATACCCCTGATGTCTTCTGGATTTTATTTATTTGTAATATACGCCAGTCTGGAGACTTTGCTTCTATGACTTACCTTCCAACAAAAGATGGGCAAACAGACACTGCCCTGTTCCTCTTTAGCTTTTGTCAGCACCAGCCCAGTGAATCTTCATTTTCTTTCCTAACTAAATCAGTTCCTATCTATCTCTGCAATAATTCATTCTGAATAATGATTGAGGTTTAAATAACAGTTTTCAAAAAAACCCATTCTATAGCAATTTGGACTATAATCTATATTTTCGTCTTCCTTTTAGTATAAAAGTAAAAAATAAAAAACATTAGCCAATTTGCAGTATATCATTTATCAGTGATGTGTTAAAAGGTTAAAAACTGCTTCAACTTTAGCATCTTGTGGGTACGAACACATAAGGAATTTTATGCTAGTACTTGAAAAGTTGGTTTATTTATAGAGTTTTTTTCTGTGTGGATAGTTTTAAGAATTAAAGAGATTTTGAGCATTCTTGGGAAGTATTTACTGACTGCCTAATTGTTTCTGTAATTTAGCATACATTTTATGTACACATATTACATAAAAGTATTAGAGAGTAATATGATTGTGTATTATTGGATTCTTTCATAGAAATGGAGCAAGTATTTTGGCTACTATATCCTTATAATGATATTTACTGTTATGTCCTTGAATTCTGATTATTACAAATTACCCAAAAGCTATAAACTTTTTGTTTAAACCATGAGAAAATGAAAGTAGTTATACAGGTCAAAATTAAGTATACCTACTTGACTTTTTTTAGATTGGCATGTCATCTTTGTCTGAAATAGCAACTAACATAAGTATGCATAGAAAATTAGAAATATACCTTAAATTCAGTTTTAAGTGTTAATATTTAACTTAAAGGGACTGGCACTACATAATATTTTTTAAATTCAATAAGTATTTACTGTATCTGAACTATTATAACTTTCAAAATTTTACTTAGAATCTTTGAAAGAATCTCTTTCATTGCAGTAAAATGGTAAGATTTTTCAAGCTTAACAGGGCATTTCAACTAGCCAGTATATTTCTCCTTATTATGGCTAATTTTCTTTATGAAGTGACCAAATTTGAATAAGGATGATGGTTCATCATGGAAATTCATCTCCTCTCCAGCTTTTCCCTGCTGAGAGAGAATAATCTTTGGTTTGTGACATCACAGTCTGTAGCTGGGAAAGTGGCTGTGATATCAAACAGATGATTATATCCTTTCAATGTGAACTAGCTGCAAAAGAGATGAGAGCACTATCATTTCAAGTCATATCACAGAGGCATTACAGGGTCGCATGACAGGAACTGAATTAGAGAAAGATGCTTTCATTCCATTTGTCACTTTTACAGCATTAACTGTTATAGATAAAAGCACCATTTCACAGTTTACTTCATTAATAGTTTTATAGGGGGAGTAAATATCATGTTAACAAAATTCAGAGGATAAAATGGCAGTGAGGAAAATACCAGTAAGCAACCAGACAGTAATGGAAGAGGAGCCTAGAGAAGCAAGGCATAGGTGTGAAATTTCATCTTGGTTCACACAGAAATGCCAATGCTGCTCAGGAAATTGAGAGAATTATCAATACTCTCAAAATGGGAAAGAATTTCTCCAAATGATAACGATTCCTAAATATAGATTATACAGATTGATTAGTATGTGGCATATAAACTAGTATTGTAACATGGGGGTGGGCAAGGGGCTGGTGAACATCCTTTTAAAAAACATGAATTCATAAATATAATCTCTTTAAGAAGCAGAACTACTATGTTCTATGAAAGCCTTCAACAAAAATTTGCAAAAACAAAAATAAATTGGCCTCAACAAAGGACATAAAATGAGAGCTCCTCTTACCAACACATACACATGCATAGACCATCTCTCCTCTTTCTCATCTTTTATGCAGCTCTAGGCACAAGGACAAAGCAAAACAACCAAGCCTTCCACACCAAACACAAGCACAGTTTATCCTTCGATCAGTTGCAATAGCCCCTATGCAAACTATCAGTCATTTGTCTAAGCCTCCTAAACTCAGAGCCTACCTAAAGTAAAATATATGCAAAAAATAATAATAATAACTCCATAACTACAAACCAAGCTGAAGTTTGTTATCTACAGTTACAGTTTACTTGTATTAGAGAATTCTTATAAAGTATTTATCCAGTCCTATTTATTGGCCAATTACTACCATTTTATTATTGTCTGAAGATCCTGCCATCCTCTATTTTTCACATAGGACTGGAGGTATTAGTGAAATAACTCAAGAATCCAGATCAGTAAATATAACCACTTTGGTAGAACCATAGTTTGACATCACACTGTCATCATCATAATAGGTGAACCTTCCTATGTACTGATTATATGAATATAGCATTGAGTATATGCTCTTTGAGTAACAAAAGGCCAAGACAGTTTCCAGTTCAGTTATCACAATAAAATTTGTAACTGTTTATGGAATTTTCTTGACGCTATAATCTAATATGCTGGTTGGTGCAAAACCTAAACCTAGTATTTAAATGGTGCTTACTCTAAAAGTTAATCCTTCACAACTGCATATCTTCCTTCATGTGTTGCAAGGACCCAATCCTCCACATGCAATAATTTCTGGGTAACTTGTGTTAATACCCACAAAAGAATTCTTCTGCATCTAGGAGTTTCCTTAGCACTTTGAAAACACCTCGTTTATAACACCTTGTTAGACCACACTGAAAATCAATTTATGTACTTATCATGGGTGAAGGCCTCAAGGAGGAGGACCTTATCTCATTCATTAGTCTATTCCCAAGGTAAGCACAGGACTAATCAATAGCTGTGCTAAATGAATGAAAAATGCATACATGCCTATTCTCAAGTACAATCTCATCAAACAGGTAGAAGAATAGTCGTCCTAAAATATACTTCAGCTTCACAGGTAATGAGCAAATAGGACAAATACAAAAAAGTCTCAATGTGGGGAACTTTTAGGAGCAGTCATACTGAAATCACAGCTACAAAGATATCTGATCTGTTAAATACACTACATGATATTATGAAATGTGCAAATACAGAGTAGCAAAGTTATCCTTTATACTTCTGCTGTAGTTGACCCATGGGAATCACATTTGCCATATCATCTGTGACCTAGAACTTCATCAATTGTCAAAAGGATCTAAATTGGCCTTACTATTAAGAAGTGGGTACAGGAGAATTGGGATAAGCATTTTGCAAAAAAAAAAAAATTAAAGATACTTTAACCAGCTTTCTACTCAAACATGGGTGTGGAGAAAATGACATACTGCAAAATCTTACATTTATTCTATGCTATTTCT